AATTAACGAGTAGATTGCCCAGCGATAATTTTCTTCGATATCTGGTTAGTTATTTTCGCTAAGCGCTGTTGTGTTGCCTGATCAACGCAATTGTTTCTAGTAGTGTTGTCACCGCTACACACAACCACAGTTCAATTTATCAAATTAATGCAACTTTTTTAGTCTGACTTTATACACGGCAAACTTACCAAAAGTTACCAAAATAAAAAAATAGTTTCCAAGTTACCAAGGACTCAAAAAGTTACCTATTTTGGTCACAAGTGACCAAATGTGGCAGCCGGGGTCAGTGTTGCCATATTGGTTCTTTTGGAGCTAGATTTAGCTCTTTATTTTTCCATTTAGCTCCGAAAATTGGGCTTTAACTCCTAGCTCTTCTCAAAATTATCTAGCACTTTTTTAGCTCCAGAAAGTTTTAGTTGTGTTTGGTAATATATTAAAATTACAAATCTGTAAGTTCATTGTACAAGTGTTACCTAAAAATTTATTTGGCTCTGGCGATCTCTGGCTATTTTCGATATCTTCATATTATTCTATTTCGATTAATACTTAGAAAACTTCCATTCCTAATGCAAATGGCGCGCAGTCAAATGGAAGATGGGCAAGTAAGTCAATTAGTTTATGCAACGTGCGCGGGAGCACACAAACTATATTGGGCAGTGATTCGAGCTCCGATAAGCTCAGACGGTGTATTCTCTCTCAGGCATTGATAAAGTTACAAATTTCAAAATTCAGTGGAAAAATATACATTTGTATCCACGGAAAAATACAGACTGAACCACAAACTCATGGATCTAGGTTAATGAATTCAAACAGTTTGTAAAGTACTTTTAGTTCATTGTCTATCATATATGTATAAGTTTGTACATGCATATAAGTGTTATAACGAATTCGAAATATAGGCACCTCATTTTGATTTTAAAAGTGTTTTTTTTTAGCACTTAAACTTACAAAATTCGTTGTTTTTATTAAAATTTCGGAAAATGTAAAAACAACCTTACGGCAATAAATGCTCAACTTTAAATAAAAATCTAGCTCTTCATTTTAGCTACTATTAGTATTATTTAGCTCTTTTTTCGGCCGTTTTAGCTCCAAACGAAATTTTTCTCTGGCAACACTAGCTGTTGTGCCGACCACATCTATATATATATGATCTATATATAATAGTACAGAGACAATTTTCTTTCAAATTAAGGTTCTGGATCTGAAGCTTTGCACAAATATTTCAGATTTCAGAAAGATTTTTAAAATTTTACATTGAGCAATTTTATAATGTAAAACTGAATATGACACTTGCATTCTCATTTTCACCAACTTTGAACAATTTCATTTCTTTATTTTCAATTTTGTATGGTTTTAAAATGCTGAAAAACTTAAAAAAATCCTGGCGGGCGAACTGAGGGAACGGTAAGGTATTTTAAGCTCTCCATAAATATGCGTTTCAGACAATCTGGTTATTTCAGTTTTCTCTTGCGGGTTACAGAAGGGCGAGAACTCTCCCCAGAAAAATTAAGATTAGTTCCACAAGAGATTATTTTGCGAGATTTAGCCGATTGGGTATTTGAACCTCAGTCTGGTGTAATTAATCAAAACCACTTGGAGGATCGATCAATTTCGCGTCCACAAAATAAGCACTGTACGATAGTTAATAAAGAAATGGTGAATATGTTGTCCTGAGAAGAAATGGCGTCGATATCTACTGTCGTTTCTAAATATCCACAGGAGCAAGTAGAAGTAAGGGAGTTGCACCTCATGACTTGATACTAAAAGTTAGAGCAGTTGTGATGCTAATCCACAACCTAAATATGTACATATGAAGGGTTAGTTAATGGTCTCGCCTAATAGTTAAAGAATTACAATGTAATTGTTTGGATGCCGCAATACAATCATGTTCATATAAAGGGTTAGTTAATGGACTTTAAAAATGTGATTCGAATTATACTATCCCATATGGGTGAAAATTTCTCAACTGGACATCGGATTTCAGTCAAGTTCGAATTTTTGTGTGAAAATTTGTGGGTAGAGAGGTTTATAGATGTGAAACAAGGCACATAAATACAGGTAAACGCCAAAATGACGTTGCTCTCATGAGAACCAAACCTTTAAACTTCAACTTGTTTTTCTTTTATTTCCTATATTTCGGTACGCTTTCAAAGTCATATCGTTATTTTTTTTTAATGTCCGTTAATAACAAATTTTAATTAACATTTGAATTTTTGTAGTGCTGTGCGGTTTATACCTAGTGTGCAACACCTTAAGCGTTGTTTTTTATGTGGTGTTAAATATAAAGCAGATACCACTAATTTTTTTAACGTGCCTGAATGTCCCTCGCGTAAGCAGCGTTGCGAAAGCAGCTGTGGGACAGAGCTGCAGCGAAATACGTTAAACATTTTAAACATTTTTTCACAAATACACCGGGAAAGGCACGTTTGATGCCAAGTAGAGATGGGCACGGGCCGGGCTAAAATTCTTACCGTGCGGGCTCGTGCGTGTTTTTGAAAGTAGATTTTGCACTCGTGCCAGGCCGGGCCTGAAAATTTAGGCCCGTGCCCATCTCTAATGCCAAGTGCTGTTCCTATGCCCCTTATGCCGAACAGTCCCTCCAACAACACTGCAACTCAAAAATCAAAAACAGAAAACAACATACAAGTTAACAAATTTTACCTAAAAATGTCTTCAAAATACCATAAATGCCATCATTATTATATATGGTTACGTTAAAAGTCGGAAATATGAGCCAATTGTTAGTTGCTCCTGTACGCGCTTCCTAGTGAACACGTTGCGCGGTGAGCGTGCATGGATCACGATGCGTGATTAACACTATTGAAATAAATATGAATACGCCACAATAAAAATTGACAAATAAATATATGGGATTAGCCTGCCCTAAAAACTATGCAATGAATCTATTTCATGTATGGAATTAACAATAACAACCACGCTGTCAAGCTTTAATAACGGCGAATCAGCTGCACTTGATAGTAGTAGGTTGAATAAGGAAATGGATTAACAACAAAAGCTTACGAGGTGTGCAAAGCTCAATGGTTAGCGCTTCTGACCTTGCACATTGATGACGCGGGTTCGAACCCTGCTGAAAGTCTAGAAAAAAAGAAGTCTGAAGAGGAAATGTGGTGATCTCCGAAATAGCTGCTATAACTTCTACCGCTTAAGTATTGTTGTTTTTTCCATTTTTCATAACAAACAAATCGTGGTACAAAACTCAGTAACACTATTGAAATAAATATGAATACGCCACAATTAAAGTTTACTAATAAATATATGGGATGAGCCTGCCCTAAAAACTATGCAATGAATCTATTTCATGTATGGAATTAACAATAACAACCACGCTGTCAAGCCTTAATAACGGCGAATCAGCTGCACTTGATAGTAGTAGGTTGAATAAGGAAATGGATTAACAACAAAAGCTTACGAGGTGTGCAAAGCTCAATGGTTAGCGCTTCTGACCTTGCACATTGATGACGCGGGTTCGAACCCTGCTGAAAGTCTAGAAAAAAAGAAGTCTGAAGAGGAAATGTGGTGATCTCCGAAATAGCTGCTATAACTTCTACCGCTTAAGTATTGTTGTTTTTTCCATTTTTCATAACAAACAAATCGTGGTACAAAACTCAGTAACACTATTGAAATAAATATGAATACGCCACAATTAAAGTTTACTAATAAATATATGGGATGAGCCTGCCCTAAAAACTATGCAATGAATCTATTTCATGTATGGAATTAACAATAACAACCACGCTGTCAAGCCTTAATAGCGGCGAATCAGCTGCACTTGATAGTAGTAGGTTGAATAAGGAAATGGATTAGCAACAAAAGCTAACGGGGTGTGCATAGCTAAGTGGTTAGCGCTTCTGACTTTGCACGTCGATGACGCGGGTTCGATCTCTGCTGAAAGGCTAGAAAAAAAGAAGTCTGATGAGGAGATGTGGTGATCTCCGAAATAGTGGCTATAACTTCTACCGCTTAGACTTTGTTGCTTTTTTAACTTTGCTTGTAACTTCTACCGCTTAGACTTTGTTGCTTTTTCCTTTTTTCCTAATAAAATAATCGTGGTACAAAGCTCAATAAAAATATTAAAATTAAATGTTAATAAGCCACAATAACATTGATAAAATATAAATAAACACTTATTGCACGTATTGCAAAGTAGGGGATACTTTAATATAACGGCAAATTTAGAAACCGCAAAAAATGTGCTACTTCGGTGACTAATAAAATCAATCTGCTCCAATTTTCAAAACTGCATAAATGGGCGTTTCTTACCGTAATTGTATTTTGTTTGTATGTAAAGACTAATGTGCTTGAAACTACTATTAACTTATAACCCATTATTATTCCTATCTTGGCCAATACATGTCTGACTTCATTCACCACGATTTTGAAAACTGACCAAATCGGCGTGGCCAAATCCATGGTCCCTTCAATTATATATACACATCCGAAAACATAAAAACGATTGAATTAAATCTCGTCTCACTTTTTTCTATTTTTCACTTGGTTGCCGAAGTATTAAATTTAATAACCTCTAATTTGATATATTGCCCTGTTTATAACAATTAACGCATTCCATTGATATTACGAGCCTAAGTTTCATTTTCGAAATTCCTACACTTTGAATCAATTGCGCAAGTTAAAGATGAGTTTTAAATTGAATCTCTCGTTGCCAATAACAATTGGCTTAGACCTAGGAGAACATAATATTATTATTACAATACCGTCAAATGCCTTTTATTCTCCCCCATACAAAATCGACCCAACCTAACGTGTATCTCGAAAACCACTCCAACAATCTGCTTGGCATCTTTGCGCTCACGTCGAGCTACCACATGGACACAAAGTGTACAGAGATTACCTTTCTGTTTTTATTAATACGGGTTTTGTTATAAGGAACAGCACTTACTTAACTAAAGTCCTTCTTCTCCACGTTTTAGAATATTTGTTAAGATTTACTAAATATATACAATTGTACTTTATTTGAACAGAAATAAATCCTGGATTGGAAAATGATGAGGAAATGGATACAGGTGAACAAATTACCGCAACCGAAATAGAAGCCAGTGTTAGTAAATCCGCGCATTCCAATCGCCCAGATGTTATTATTACTCCAAATAAAATTCAAAAAACAGACGAAATGGTTGGCCCCACAACGATTCTCTCACCCACATCAACTTCACGGACTGTTATTGTGCGTGCGATCTCAATAATCAAGAAACCGGAAAATGAAAAGAGCAACACCCATTTCACATTGCCAGACGATTTCAAGCGTACAAATATATCTGCAAATACTTTTCCACCTCGTGGAATACATTTCTGCAAACAAATTTCTTCAGTTACACCCTCTTGGAATATTTTACTTGGACGATGGAAATTAACGCTGGATCTTTTTGGGAGGGTTTTTATGGATGACGTAGGAATGGAATATGGATCATTGCTACCTGAATTACGTGGATTTCCAGTCAAAGAGATGCGTTTTCGAAGGCATATGGAAAAACTACGGAACGGCCAACAGCGCGATCTTATATTATGCAAACTTGAGCGCAACCGGGAGAGTTTAATCATTCAAACATTTAAGGAGTTAAATGCCCAGTTCGGAAGCCAAACAAGACGAACACAAACCCCTTTGACCTTTAACCGTGTAAAAGTAACTTTTAAGGACGAGCCTGGCGAAGGATCTGGCGTGGCGCGCAGTTTTTATACATCAATTGCTGAAGCACTATTAGCAACTGCTAAAATGCCTAATTTGGAATCTACTCATATTGGTGTAAACAGTAAATACGGAGCTCCGTTTTCGAGTATTTTGCGAAATCGGGGAACGTCTAATCGAGAACCACCCACACTACAAAGACGCGCTACGGGAAACAAAATTTTTTGGCGAACCTCGCGTGAGAGAAAACTACTAAATCATGATGCCAGACCATATCTACCAACTACAACCATTACAGGTATGTATTTATGGATATTTTTCACATTCGCGAATGCGAATGTGCGAATTCGAATGCGAATGCGAATTTTAGGAATAACATTAAAAAGGCTATTATCAATTAAGGGGTTAGATCCCGCCTTTCGTCAGTGAAATACATTTTTTTACTTTTGAATTAATAACTCAATACCATTTTATCCTTCTGATTTGTATTTTTTTTTTATCTGACTGATGACTAATTATATTTTAATGAATATAATATATAAAATTATCGCTTGGTGGATTATGCATTTGAATATTGAGCCTATACATACCAGTCTTTTCAGACCTTTTGCCAAATACACCATTTTGCTTAGCTGTCCATGGTGTGTTAGTGCTGCTAAATTAGAGCACAAAATCATTTGATGCTCTGATTGGCTGGATGCTGAGTCTCGTATTATGTAATCTATGTCTATATCAGCCAGGGATGGAATTTCAAAATTTTAATTTGTGCCTAATGGACTGCAAAAATAGTGCCGAAAAGGAGATGAAAGTACCACAAAGTTAAAATTGCTTCCTTTTAAGGCTTTTTAAGAAAAATATATTTTCAGAAATATTAAGTACACGGATTAACTAAATGAATTACACTGTTCGGCAGTCGGCTGGGGAATTGATGAAGCCAAGCTTTTTAAAAGTCTGGATTGTATATAATTTCTCAGTTTTCTCAGGTTGGCTATTTTAAGCGTTTTTTTTCAATTTCCAATAATTAAAAGTAACTAAAATGCAAGTATTCATACCATCAAAATTAATCTGAAACAGCCGTGTCATTTTTACCAAACAGCGTTTATTTTTACCAAAAACGCCGTGGCTGCTGGGTGCACTTTCTTGCAAATAAACATGAAGAAAGATTGTTTAGAACGTTGTTGAAAAACTTTGTTTGCACTTTTCCTTCAGGTTTCTTCTATATTTTTTACATTAAACAGCACCCTAATGGCATGAATACCCCATGGAATAAACGAGTAGAGAAAAAATATATAGCGGTAAGAATGGCACATACACACATATATGAAAGAATGCACACAGGCGACGCCTCTAGCCACTGTGTGTCACAACTTTAAGTCATACCTGATTTAAAACTTACACGTTATTACCCTAAAATTTAACGGGCTATCAAACTGTATACCCTAAAAAATCTGAATAAATTGTTGAAAATTTAGCTGGAACTTTGCAGATTTTTGATAATTTTTGCACATGGTTTGAAATGTGGATTTATACCGCGTTTGTTAGAAAAATAGCCAAAATTGATCACAAGGATATATCAATATTTGTTAGTACCAGCAAATAGTAATTTTTTTTTAATAAGCTGTGGATTATCCTCTAGGTTAGGGATGCCCAAATAAGCACATATGTGTCGCGGGCGACTGCGCGTGCAAAGCTTTGCACAGCGGTGATGGGCAAGCGCGGAAGCAAAAAGTTTTCGGAAGGGGAAAACGAAGTCAACAGAATAGTGAGATTGTATGTGTGACAGTGATGGAAAATGAGTGTGCATTGTGCCATTTTCGGCCCTTTCGGAAGCAGCCGGCACCTTCAGCACAATCTATCGATTTTCGGCACTATTTTTGCGTGACTCAATGCAACTAATAAATATTTCTTTCGGATCCGCAATTAAAAATATTTTTTTTTTTACATTTAATCGTATGTGCTTAAACTGGTAAATGATATAAACATAGAAACACAAGCAGAGGAATCTCGCTTCCACATTCTGCATATGCGCTTAACATTTTTGCTTAAACAAATTTGTCGAAATTTCATCTCTAAAGCAAATATTAAATATCATTTAATATATACTTTAGATTTAAATAATCATTTTTAGTGGTGGGCGAGTCCGAGATGTTTAAATTATCGAGATAGTAGATTCAATTCGCATAGATTTTTTATAACTTTTTTCGTTGAAGGTGTTGCATTTTTTTCCATACTGAAATTTGTATACATCATTTATCATTGTCGTAAGAAAAACTATAAAATAAAGCTTAATTTAAAATATTGCAATAGAAAACAACAACGCTACACGCGCATTCATCCATATAACATAAAATGCGAACTTTCGTTATATGGAAGGAAGTGCGCAACACCGAAAACAGAAAAATTCAAAAAATCAATGGTATTTTCTAGACTCTTCAAACTTGCACCTTATTATACTAGAATGAATGGGCTACAAAAATGTTAACCCAAAACATGTCTACAAATTCTGAACAAAAACTGTGAAAATTTGATGAAACTTTGTTTATTTTTTCATTTTTTCAAGTTTCGATTTATTTGCAAGGTTTTTCTTTGATAATGAGCTACAATTTAATAAAAAAATAGTTAAAATTATTTAAAAAAATAAAATAAATGCCGGGTGACCGTTTAATTTTGTCAAAGATGAAGACAATGATGATAAAACATTAATACACTATATAG